TGCTGAGGGGAGGTGGAACAAAGGGAGCCATGGACCACGAGGAAAACTGCACCCCCACTCCCCATTCTGGCATGTCCCCAAGGGGTCTTTCCTCAAGGGAGGAAGAGGGCTCACCTGTTGACTGCCAGCACCCTCCAGCTGGCCCTACCTCACCAGCAGGTATCCAAGTTGCTCCCTTGTCCTTCCTTCAACACCGACCACCATTAAGAGATTTAAAATTTCAGACTTGGTTCCAAACCACCAATCGCCGCTTGCCACCAGCCAATTGGGTGCAGAGGCCAGAGGGAGGTGGGGAAAAGGTCGGGGATTCTTTCCTTCCTTCCTACCTACCTACCTACCTATAATATAGGCTTATGCCTTTTGCCTTTTGCCCTCCCCTCACAACCCTCAGGAGAGCCCCAGTGAATCTGCTTCCTCCTCCACCCATTGACCACCAGCACCCCTCAGCCAGCCCTATCTCATCAGCAGGCATCCAAGTTGTTCCCTCATCCCTCAATGCCCACCATCGTTAAGGGATTTCAAATTTCTGTCTCGTTTCCAAAGCAGCCAATCATCACTTGCCCATTGGGCCTGGCTGCCAGCCAATTGGGTGCAGGGGACAGAGGGAGGTGGGAAAGAGTTTGGGGATACCCACATGATGATCACATGACCTGGGCTGACCGTGGCAGCACAGCCACAGATTCCCCAAATTTCAATCTCATGGGCGTCATGGGTCCTTGATTTTGGATGCATTCTGTAAATTAGCCCATTTGAGGTACCTTGGTTCAAAAATTGTTGCTCTATGACACACCATTTTGCCCAGTTGAAGGTTACAGACACAAGCATTTAAGTAGTATAGATAATATTGTATTATGTGGGTGCATTTCCATTTAGACAGCTTAAATCCTAATTCAACATAGGCTGAATCTTGCACAATTTATACTTTGTAATTTAATTTTAAAAAACAATAATAAAATAGTAAGATTCACAGTGGGAATAACTCTGCCATATTCTTACTGAGTGAACTTAATTACAAAAAGAGTTAAGACTACGTTAATGGAGATGGGCAACTCATGCAGATTAGACAATAAATCTTGGATGATTGAAACATGGCACTAATCTTGGGTGTGTATGTATGGTGGCTTTTCCCAGCTCTCTGAAGATTTATATGAATATAGAATCAAAGAAGCTGTCTTATAAGACTTTTGGCCTTTCTTGACTGTCTTGCTATCACTTTTCTGAATTTCAGAGATGCATCACTTAGCAAGGTGAAAGACTGAAACATAAAGAAATGCTTTATCCCTGAGTTACAAAATACTCAAAAGTACATATACTTTGCACTGTTGAGTTTAATTAGTTGATCTCTGCTTCCACAAAGCCTGCAAAATTCGGAAAGCATCAGATAGGAGCAGAAACTATTTTTTCATTTGCACTACCCTTGGTTTTGTTTTGTTTTATTTCATTGGGAAGTGATGCACGCAAAGGACATGGCAGTGTTGTGATGACATAATTGGAGGAGGCAGGACAAACCCTTTGGTTACAAACCCAGGATGTAGCTTAGGAATCTTATATTTAACTTTGCATTGGTGAATGCTGAGCCCATAAACAAGTGGCTCGGGGGCCGCATATAGTCTGCAGCTTTGGGTTGTGACCCTATGTTAGATCTTCTGAGATGTGGCTACATGGAAAGGCCATGCAGCATACTTCCTGACCAGAATGTCGATGTTAAGCTTTATTTTGCAAAGGGAGTTCTCTGCTCTGCCTGACCAGCTTCAACTGAATTTTTAATATCTATAGAAACAACCAGCATAAGAACAGTAGCAGCTATTGGGAAACAAAGGAGTGTTCTTGAAACCTGCATTCAGACATCTAAAAGAAAAAAAATCTTGTTTATAGTGAAGGAATAATTAATGCTGTGAAGGATTGTTTTGTATATTCTGAAAGTACAATTTATACAGATAATTTCTGTATAACTTCTTTAATTCAGGAACCTTTCCTTCCAGGTGGATTGTTAAAGAATCCACAATATCCAATTATCAGTAACTTTTGTATTCATTCATTATATTTATACCTTGACTTTTGACTAAGATTTGTTGCCAGAGTGCCTCATAATCAGACTCCACAAAAGTATGCTCTGTTGAAGACTCAAGTATGCTCAAAACTGTCTGCTTTGGATGCTATAATTGAAGGTATAATCCAAAGACTTTCTCATCTTCTCTAGACTCTTTTGGTCCCAGGAAATCAATCATATACACCAAGTACATGCCCCTCCTTTCACAGAACTGGTAAGAAGACAGACGATTCCAAGAATCTGTGGAGTACCTATTTCTCTCATTTATATCCTAATAATTAAAGCAGAAGAATAAGCAAGATGCAAAACTCAGTAATGTAAAGCTTGTCTCTTGGGTACAGTTGTTTAATTAGTCAGGAGCTCCTAGTTTATAATTCCTGCATCTCCTCCTTGAGACACAGCGTTCTCTTTTTGCTATGAGCAAAGAGAATATGAGATTAAAAAAAGAATCCTTCAAGAATGTGCTGTCCATAGTGCTGATACTGTGATCTGCAGAAAATCTGGGGCCATGAGTAAGTGAGAGTCTGAGTGCGTAGGGCATAATTCCCTGCTTTAAATTACATCATTGGGTTTTTAGGAAGATAGCTTTAAATAAAGATATAGATATCACATAATTGTGATATATATCAACCCTGGGAACCATTTTTTTTTATTAGGTTTGAGCACATAGGGAGGTGAAATTAAACTCTTCATCAATGTAGTCATTAAAAGAAAATCACCCAACATGTTACAGCTAGGATTAGTTCTCAGTTTCCAATGATACCTTATTGAGGGGGAGGGGACTTGTTTTGTGTAATGGAAGATACTTGATGATTATGTTGTATACCTGACCAGTTGTAGGAGATTAAGAGACTTAGAACCTGCTGCATTGTATTAATTGCCATCATTCAATGTTATAATACTTGCACATTCTACAAGGTGTCGCAAAATATTTCTCCATATATACATATACATATCCAGAACTTTCCTGTAATGTGATACAGTTGCAAGGATTAGGAGCTCAGTGATGGATACTTCAAAGGGACCACAGAATAGGAAACTGAAGAAGATCCTCTGTAAGTTCATTTTCATGTTTATGGAAATAATAATTTATTAAAAAATTGATAAGGAAGCAATAAAATGAAACATATTTTTTTCAATAAACTCAGTTTTGCTCTCACTGATTCTATTCTTCTGTATCTCTGTTGATTAGGAGTTGCTTTATTCTGTGACATATTTAGCCAAAGATTGTGCTTGAGGAAGATCTTTCGAGAGGCTGGAATTTGTTTAATATGAGCCTCCTGATCCTTGATCTCCTGGTGGCTTTGGATAACATCAACCGTAGTATACTTTTTGATTGATTTTATAGCATTGGAGTAGTGGGTGCTATGTTGCTGTTCTTCCTGAGAGTGTGGTTCCTGTTGGTAAGGGGTAAAGGGAGGAGAGATCTGCTTCTACTTTGTAAAGTGCCTCAGGAGTCTCTCTTTGCTCCACTATTTTTAATATCTACAATATATGAAATTGCTGGGGGAGGTCATCTGTTGCCACAGGTTCTAGTATCATCAGTATGCTGATAATAGCCAGATATACATCTTGGCCACAGGCCAAACGAGCAGTGGTGTAGAAGTGCTGAGCCAGTGCATGGAGTCTATCAGAATCTGGGTGGGGAAGAACAGACTTTGGGTGAATCTAAAGACAGCAGCTTTGGTCTTTGTGGCCCTAACAATTCCAACTTTGAACTGGGTTGTATTCTCCCACTCAGAGATGGTTTACAATTTAGGGGTCCTCTTGAATTCACAACTCCTGTTTGATCAGCATGTGGCAGCTGCTGCCAGGAGGGCTTTCGTACAGTTATATCTTGTGTTCCTATTTTGGCCATTTGTCAGTTAGGAGGCCCTGCTTACAGTTGGTTGTAACTTAGTCACCTCCTGCATGGGGCTGCACTTGGAAGAATACAGCTGGTACTGAGGTAGCTGGACACTGATGGATATATACTTGGGTGATTGTATTGGTTGCCAGGTGGCTTCCAGGTATGATTCAAGGTGCTGGTTGTTTCCTCAAAAGCCCTATGTGGTTCCAGATCAGGTTATCTTTCCCTGTCCAATCAGTTTGAATAGGGACAACTTCTGGGTTCTTTCTATAAGAGATGGTTGTATGACTGAACCTTGGAAGCAAGCTTTTGAGTTATTGTGCTCATACTTTGGAATTTCCTCCCCATATAGATCCAGTCTGCTACTTCCCTCCTGGGTTTTAGGGGAGCAATTAAGGCCCGGTTGTTCCATCTAGTGCAGGAGGACGGTAGAAATCTGGCAGATTCGTACCTTTGTATATTTACTGTTTACTTTGATGTTGCCAATTTATTTATATTATGGTTGGGCTTATTTATGAATTTTGAGGGAGTTGCTTTTTATTATATGCTTCTCTTGACTGTTAGCCGCCCAGAGCCTCTGTGAATCGTAGCATACAAATAAATAAATATAAATGGCTTACACAACCTATAGTCCTTTCTTAAGTGATTCAGAAATTCAGAAATTGCACCCCTATGTTGTGTGATGATATGTTTCAACTTCCTTTTAGGAGCTGCTTATCTTCTTTGTGGAATTCTTTTCTCACACATGCCAATAGGCAATTTTACCTTCCTCATTTAGAGTTACAGCCAATGACTCGGAGGCCGGGGGGAGAGATGTGATGCCATATTCTGTTATATGTAGGCACTAAACCTAAGTGTGGCATTGTGTCTTTTGTCTGTGGGCTTCCCTGCATGGCATATATTACCACATAGAGCAAGAATAAGCACATGACTTTCCTATACAGAGATATACATGAGGATATTTTGCACATGCAAAATTATCTTGCTGTTTGGGACAATTCTCATGTTTCTCTATGACCCTCAAGCATAATGCAGATTTTTTTCTACCTAAACTGAATTACATAGTTTCTCTCTCTCTCTCTCTCTCTCTCTTCGCTTCAGGTCACCGATATGATGCTTCAGGACAAGCCTTACCCTGACTGGGGAAAATCTGCCAGGGCTTTCTGGAAAAAGGGGAACATTAGGATCATTTTATTCTGGTAGGAAAATCACAATTCTCATTAAGAATATTGATCTGCATACTCTAAGTATCTTGTAAGCCACTATGAAAGGGTAGTTTCCTAAAAAATTATTTTGCAACTGTACCTCGTCCCTTAAAACAAAATACCAAATTGTATGGTTTGTCCATAAAAAAATGATAAAGGATGTTAAACATCATAGGACCAAAGAGCTTCCCTGAATTTGGAGCTAATGGTTGGTTAGTAGTTGGCTAATAGGAACTAATAGTTAATAGTAATCATAACACTGTGATTCTCCCAAGTATTGCTGAGGTAGAAGTTAATAGCAACCAGGAAAGCCATCTTTAATAACAGTTGTTGTAAGCTGCTGAGTGGCCATATTCTTCGCAAGGTGACGTTGGAGGGGATCTTATTTGGTAACTGATTCCACAAGCAGGGCAGAGAATGCTTACCTCCAAGTCCCCTCCAATGGCAACTTGCAGGGCATAGGGCCACTCAGCACGCAATCTCTGCCAGCACATCTTATGTGGGCAGATTCTACTTGGAATAAATGATCTCACAGATACCTATGCCCCAAGCCATGGAGGAGTTGTTGTCAGCACCTTGAGTTGCACCTGGAAACAAACTGAATGCAGCTACTGTAGTTCTATGGTAGCATTGAGATAGTCCTGTTAGTACCCAGGCATTTTGTCTCCGCTGAAGTTTAGGGTGATCTTTAAGGGTGGTCCCAGGTAGAGCCAGTTACAGCAGTCCATTCAAGAGCTGACAAGGATATGAGAACTGATTATAACTATTGCACCAACTAGAACTGGTCAAAGGTTTTCATGGCCACAGCTTCCATTGGCTGTTCCAGCAGGAGCTATGAATGGTTGAGCAAAACAGTCTAACTGTGTTTGTTCAAAAGAAAAGCCTATGGAATAGTTTAACACCCTCAGCTTGTAGTGAATTACTAACAGCCAACAGAGCCTGCGTTTCCTTACACGCTCCTCTGTCAAAAAGCTTGAGATCTGGTTGCAGATCTGTATTCAGGAAGATTACCCCCACACTTTCCCCTTTCTCTAGAGAGGAAAAAATTAGTTTGCCTTTTTAAAACAAGAGTTTTAAACTAAGGGAGGCTTAAAAGACAAATTAGATCTCCTTCCATCCCTCCCGCAGTCTCCAAATTAACTGATTGGGATCCCCAGGTATCTGGAGGGGAAGCCCAAGATTAATCACAATGAATTCTTGTCTGTTCCTGGACCACAGATATTTTTGAAAGGATAAGTAAAATAATGTTCAGCTGGAATTGTTGCATAATATTAATTTTTATTTCAACTGCATATGTTTAAAATCTGATCCTGTTTTCTCTGGTATTTATGTTCTCTGTACAAGCTCAGCAATGTTTTTGCAGTGTGAAATTTCTTTACAGCAGAATGCTTCTAAAAAGGAGGAAACCAGTATCATCTTGTAGGCTGCCAGAGCTATATATTTACTATTATATTTTCAGTGGGAAATCCTTTTTAAGTTGCTATCTTAGATTTGAACTCTGATTTTTACCTTTGCCACAGAATGTTTGATTGTGACTACCTAAAGCTAAACATGTATTTTTATTTTCTCTCTTTTCTTTTTTTTTAAATACATTGTGATTTTGCTTCTCTCTCATGAGATTGTTCTATTTCCCAAAAAAAGCAGGGGCAAACAGGCTGTTTTCCCTATCCACACTCCTGCTACAGCACAAAGAGGTGATGCTATATGATTTACTTAATTTTTTCCCCTCATTGTTTTCCTTTCACTTTGTAGAAAGTCACCCAGGGTGTGAGAGCTCTGTCTCTTTCAAATGCTGGGTTTAGTGGGAGGATGCCAAATGAGGCACTCTCTTGAAGAAAAGTTTGCAACAGTGGAATTAGGGGGTGTAGATGATTTTCTAAGCATTCGCCTGCAGTCTTCTCAATTTTTAGTGAAAAAGAACAATCTTCTGACCAATTTACAAGGAAGCTATTACAACAAAAATGAGAAAGTCTCTGCTACAATTTATTGGAGGATAAACTAGTTCTTAACTGGAAAGAACTAATTGCTAAAATTCTTGTAACCCTATTTCTTTCATTTCAATAAATCTTGTTAAGGAAGACAGTGAGGATCTCCCTGGCAGAATTACTTTTAGTTGAGTCAGCTGCCAAGAGTCTGACAGCCATGCAGATGAGGGCTATTAAACTTGCTGATATAAATTTCTTACATCTCCTAAGCTTCCCTAGACTAATGCTGAGTTTCTTACATATATATATATATTTTAAAAAGGCTTCTTTTATCTCTGCTCCTTTGCCCTGACTCCCTAAAGTTCAAGGTTGCCAATTAGACAAACAAAAGTATCATTTTAATTACAGTCCAGGTTCAGAAATAACTGAATACCTACCAG